CCGATATTCATATTTTAACGTTGATAATCTTAACTAATTATTAATAAAGTTAATTATAGCAGATAATTTTTTTTATTATCCTTAATTACGGTATTGTTCCTATGAGTATCATTTATGCATATTTTATTTTTTTAAACCTCTACAAATATTTCTTATGGTACATATGGAGTAAGTAGTAAGTAAATAATTTATCATATTGACATCTGAATAGATAACAAATATGTACAAAATAAAGGTTTATACATTTCACCAGGCCCATAGAACAGAATAAGGTTCTTGTGGCTGGCGGTTCGTTTCTAAGTCGGCCTGTTTCTTTTCGTAGCGAAAGGATACCAACTCTAAACTGAACCCTTATGGAGTGTTTTTGTTTTTTCATGTCTATCTTATGTTAGGTTCCAGTTCAAAATTAATTTTAAAAGTCACATGTTCTTAATTAAGATACGTGATGTAATGACGATGTTTTCAATTTCCATTCTTCTTTGCAAAGCGTAAACAATTTACATTTTGCTTAATTTATTTGTGAACACCGTTGTTCTAATATTTTGATTATTCCATGAGAAAACTTTTGGGTGAGTCTCTCATCGTCCATTTCAATTAATCTGTTCAATATATTAAGATATTTAATATATTTATTAGGGATGTCAACGAATAGTCGACTATTCGACTGTCAGTCGAAAGGACCGACTATCGAATAATGTGACCGACTATCGACTAAATAAAATACGAAAAAAAGAGCGATAACTCGATTACAAATTTATGATAAAGTTGTCGACAAAATTATTTTCCTGAACAAAAACTGTTGACTTTTCATTATCAATGTATAACTGAATATTAAATGCTCTTCTATTATCTGATAATTGTGAATAAAAATTGTATTTCTGATAAATTATGAATCACAGTGCTGGGTTTTGTTTCTAAAATTATAATGAAAACAGAGATTTTTAGTCATTACATTCCATGTATCCCGACATAATATTGTTATTTTAGTAATGTTCAAAGGTTCCCACACGGCAGCCGAGACACGTTTTGATCATTTGATAATTACTTTTATAAAAACACGCATACATTGTAGTGTTGTAAGCTTGGGAATTTAAGTGTTTTAAAGTAACGGTTATCGCGGTATTAACAATGTCACACGGGCACCTGACGTGTAGATGCTGTGTTTATCTTATTTTATTTAAATGAGTTTAAACATAATTGCTGGTAGTTTTTGATGCATATTTAAACTAAATAAATATAATTTCATGTAAACATAATAGCTACACTGTACAAGTCAAGTGCCTGTTAATATCTGTCAAAAGCATACGCAATGCATACACCAAAGAAGGAAACTCTTGCATAGTCTATGCAAACGAAAGTAAAACGGAAATCAAAATTTAATTGGAAAAAAAGTTCCGAATAGTCGACTATCGTTCGAATAATGCAATCGAATGTTCGACTAAGGAAAATATATATTTTGACATCCCTAATATTTATGTTGATCCAGTGCCTGTATATCGGTGTTATCCATCCAACTTCACTGTTTAATGCGATTGCAGGTGCGTATAATGTAGTCCTAAAATTATCGAATAGCACGTTTTTGTTTTTTTTTTGTATATAGTAACAAGAAGTATATTTATATTGATGTATATTTTTCCCAAAACTTCATTATCTGTTTGTAATGTAATATTAAGACTATAAAACTTCAAAAAATTTTCCAAAGCAAAGTTTCATAGTAACTTTTAATATCATACAGTATTATTTGTAAAACTACAAAAAATCATTAGTTACATTTTCCAATTTAAAAAAAAAATCACCGGCGCTAACTTCAACAATTTAGTAGGCTTTCTTGGTGGTTGTAAAAGTTGGCTTCTTGCCTGCTCAAAGACATGCTAAAAATGTTGGTAATTTATTTAAGCAGACACATGGCATTGCACATAGGTATATGACTCTCACTTTTGTTGCATACATGCATGTGTATGTGCATTTATCAAATGAACTTCAGAAATGCTGGACATTTAAGTAGTCATTCATTGTGGAAGAAATGTTATGTGATTTGTTATGAAATTCTTAGCATTCGTTTCAAATAATACATTGTAACAAAACGTTCTAATATTTCTTAAATTTCAGATTTTTATTGTCCAAGTTATACTTGTGAGTCTTGTTAGTCTTATACCTCCACTTTCACTGTACAATAGTTCTTATTATTTAACGTGAATATTCTTCAATTTCAGATTTTTATTGTCTTCTTCATAGTTGTGTGTATTGCACCTCCAACTTCAGTGTCATTACGAATACGGTCAAACAAGCCATGCAAATCAAGTAAGATTTCTGGGGAAAACTATTGAGAAAAAAATAAAGGACTGTCATTTTAATTCTTATGACTATCTTTCTTCCAAAATTCGTGAGAAATAATTAGAAATTACATGTTGAAAAAAAATTCTATGTAAATATTACAAAAAAGCAAGATGAATATATTTTTATTAACGTTTTTCAAGTGATTTTGTACTTGTTTGTTTTTTAATTCTGAAATAACGGAATGTTATAATAATGTAGAAGTATCTCTATATCATATTTTTCTTAATAAGTAGCTATGTCGATAGAGCGCTCGCTCCGTGTCGGAAAGGTCATCAATTGAAAACATGACTGTGAGTGGCAAAAGTCAATAACAAATTAATTCTGAGAATTTGAGTCCCCCGCGGAGGGAAAAAGAGGACCATGCTCAGATTGGGGGGTCGAAGCTGTCTCTCCCTTTCCCCTGAATAGCAGAATTGTTGAATTATATACTGAAGCAAATAAAATGCCAATATGGATATAAAGATTTGACTGTTTATTCTTTAAATATATGTAGATTCTTTTATTTTTAAATTTTTTTTATACTGTAATAATAGCTCGTACAAAACATGTGTCATTATTTCTTCATTTCAGATTCTAAATATATCCTTTCGTAATTGATAAAAAAAAAATGAATAAATGAAATACTATGATTAGCAAAATTTTGAGCCGGTGTAAAGACGAATAATGACCCCTATCGAATAATGACCGGGGGTCATTTTTCGCTGTCGAAAAATGACCCCCGGTCATTATTCGACGTAGAAAAATGACCCTTTTGCCCGTAGAAAAAGTGTCACCACCCTAAAAATTTGCAGAACCCACGTGAAGAAAAATGACCCCCGTAGAAAAATGACTCCCTGTGGATTAAAGTTGAAATTTTTAGGGGGCAAAAAAAGTTAGATAAAGAAACATATTTGCCAAAATGCTCACCCGAGCTTATTTGGAATAAATTGATGATATGTTGATCTCATAACATACGATTATAGTTTTATTTTAAGGTCAATGCGATGATTCAGTATCTAAAGGAGTAAAGATTTATCGAGCCTAAAGGGTTAGGTAAACATTGTTTTTGATGGTGGAAATCATCGTACTGACAGAAAAAATCAGCAGTATCATATATTATTATATCCTCCGCTTGAAAAGCGGGAGGGTATATAGTGATTGGGATGTCCGTCCATCCGTCCGTCTGTTACGCATTGGGGTATCCATCTAGCTCTTATCCGCAACTCCTCTTATATATAAAAAGATGTGTTTGTGAAACAGTTATGCCCCTGTATGGCAACATAGCGAAGATAACACTTTTCTTAAATGCAATTTAAATATAATGGAACCCAAAGTAGGGTCTTCTCACAAGAAATACAATTGCAAAATAGGAAAGCCCTAACACCACTTGTTCAAAATTAATGGCTAAGGATTAGTGTTTGAAAGGTAGGTCAAACTCAAAGGTCAAGGGGTCAAAGTTGATGGTTTCTTAAGAAAGGTTTAATGTAACAAGAATTACATACATGAAGTATGAGAGTACTAGTATCTGCCGTTGAAAAGTTAAAGCCAAAGTAAATTAAATTTTGGCATTTTGTGTAAAATGGGACAAACTCCAAGGTAAAGGTCAAAAGGTCAAATTTGCTGGTACCCAAAGTAAGGTCTTGTCACAGGGAATATACACATATTGAATATGAAAGGCATAGCTAAAATAAATGAAAATTTATGGTAAAGGTCAAAGTTTTTGCGGAGAAACAGTCCGCCAGATAGACAGACAGACATACAGACGGACACGATAAAACAATATACCCCCTAATCTTCCATTACAGGGACATAAAAAGAAATGGTCTTCAATTAACTTTTCATACTTATGATACAGTATTAAGAAGACGTTACAAAAATGAAAATGTTTGTTCTGATTTTCATATTAAATTCTCTGAAAAATATACTCAGAACTGGGTAAAAGGGTGGAGTAAAACAAGAATTAAGAAATGTAATGAATACTGTTTGCTTAATCAAAAGGTTATGTCTACATGTATAGTTTTTGCATTAGAATGTGTATTTTACACTAGCCTATAGCTTTACAGAGCATACTAGTATTTTTAGGTGTTATACCCCCCATCCCCACCCCTTTACTTATTTAGGAAGAAGTCGATTATCAACAAAAGCACAACAACAAAAAAAAAACCAAACTACCCTACCTTTTTTCTATAAAGAAGGACTATAAATAAGCTTAAAATAATTTACTATTCTACTAATTTTCAACTGTTACTTTGCCACAATACTTTCAAGTATACCCCCACCAACATTTAAAGTATGCTTTAATCATGGCGAAGTAAATTATGATATGATAGAACTTGTGTGAAGGCTTAACTTCATTTCAATATTATATCTAGAGCCTCTTTCAGTACTATTGAAAGGTATAGAGTTTTATTTATATTTTGATTTTAGCTCACCTGAGCTGAAAGCTCAAGTGAGCTTTTCTGATCACCCGTTGTCCGTCGTCCGTCCGTCCGTCCGTCTGTCAACTTTTCACATTTTAAATTTCTTCTCAAGAACCACTGAGCCAAAAACAAGGTACAGTAAGAGCAAAATTCGGCCTACCATCAAATTTAAAAATATTTTGGAATATAAATCTAGAAGATTTGTCTTTTCAGATGACAGTGGTTACATATTTGTGTATAATTTAGTATTGGAGAAACAACGCTGTCAATTTTGCATCCTTTTTACAATATTTTTCCTTTTTAACGTCGTAAGAACATATGTGACGTCACTGAAATTATTCATCGAAAAACAATGTACATAATATATAATTAAGACAATTTTTATTCTCTGAAACTAGTAAATCTACAACATGCAATCTCTTTCTCTCTCTCTCAAAAAAAAAATTCTCTCATTAAATACTAGGGATGGCGACCGAATACGGAACTGCTAATCGGTTAACCTAAAGAGCGATTAACCGCTTAACCATATCAAAATATATTTTCAATATTTTTTTTTCATAAGTTAATTCATGTACACAAGAAGTACTTAAGTCTAAAATTTTTAAAACTGTTCTATTTGTCTTGATTCTTGATGAGAAAATTATATGCATACTATTATATATCTATATTTTCAGTTTCAGTAGACTGGAAAAAAATCAAGAAAACCATGAATCATGTCTGAGAAAAAAGGCATAGATCTTTTCTCCAAAGCAGATTTCACCTAAGTTCATTCAGCGTTGTCACCATAATTAAGATTTATTCTGAATTACATTTTTAAATTTACAGTGTTTAATTCACAGTACTAAACGGTGATTTAATTATCATAAATGAATTTTGAACATATTTCATTGACAAATGCCAAAGGGATTGGACACAAAGAATTACAGGTCAGTCGGGGTAACAACTTGGTGTTTTAACAATAATTTACACTTCAGACACAAAATGACCAAGAACCATGCCCCACGGTCCGTAGAATCATACTAGTAGTCACATTTAAATCAATGAATGTGTGAAATCCTAAATTATCAAACTTCAAAAAAATTGCGTTCAAATTTAATTTTTTAAAACTTTTTCGCCTAACTTATTACAGATTTTCTAACGATTACCATAGCTCCGACCGAGTAAACAATTAACTTGTTACAAATTGATATCCCTATTGAATACCTTGACAAATTCATTACTTTTATTTCTCTTGCTCGTTCTCATTACGTCCTCTCAAAAACTACAGTAAAACTCGTTTAGTACGAACACGGATATTGCGAATTCACGGATATAGCTAAGTCATTTTCAATCCCCAGCTATATAAATTTGATGAATTTTACATACAGTTATAACGAATTACGGATATAGCGAAGTAATTTCAAAGGTCCCAGCGACTTCGTTATAACCGAGTTTTGCTGTAGTACTAAAGAAGCAACCTCCCTCCCCCTCTCTCTCTCTCTGTGAATTTCAAAATACATTTGGTTCAAATCTTAAAATCATTTGAACCAAATGTAACATATTAATGTTAATAACATGTTAATAAGTTCAATAACTTTTAATAAGTTAAAATGTTAACATGTTAATATCACTCCTCTTCATTTCCGACAAGGCTGTCTTCGTCGCTGTCGGAATCATCAACGGGCAGCGCTGCAGCATCATCAACGTAACTGCACCAATTCCGAACTCCAATCTTTGGGTTTTCCCTGTGCCTTGCAAAGGATAAAAACCATATAACACTAGTGATGTGGGAGCACATTCCCACCACTCTTGACCCTATTTTGCATTTGCAAAACCATGATTTTATATTTATCTCATCAAACCCAATCCACAATAAATACTTTTTTGCCGATATATGCCTGCTTTGAAGTTTTGCACGTAGAATTCCATCATGGTCATTGTTGACGTAAATTTCATAGTTGCCATCTTTATCCAGATGTTCCTGAGCATAGGATTTAGCTAGTTTTATCTGATATACCCCCATTGTTAATTCTCGTATTTCTTCTTCCGACAGTTGCGGAAATGCAATGCTTGTGTCGCTGGCGTCAATCTTCCGCCACCTTACTTCCCTTTTGTCTAAACCTACATTTAAAAAAGCATGTTACTCATAATTAGTTGTAATAAATTTAGAAATTCATAATTTATCAAGATATTATAAAACAAGCATTCTGAGAGCACTGCATAAGCAATAGTCCCCTATCGGCATGTAAAATCTGGTCCCCGTTAAAAAATGAAAATGCCATAACTCTGTAAAAAATCATTGAAGCGGAATGAAATGCAAATCTGATTTATAACTCATCAAGATGCACACCTAATAAAAATTCAGCTTAATATTTGCAAGCGTTTAGAAAAAAAAAATAACGATAGGAAACCCCTATCAATGAAGTGGAACGAAGTACAATCTTGACCTGTAATCACCTCCGGTTTCACCGGCAGGGGAGTAATAATAGACTAGAAATTACATTGATGTAATGCTCTTATATTGAGTTACAGTAGCAATTTACCATTTGTCTCTACATATTCCTTGAGTACATTGACTTCCTTGGAGAGAAAACGCATCTTCGCAGCTGTCGACAAGTCACTCTCTAATCCTGTACTAACATCAGGCCTGAATTTATTGCAGATGGCACTAATGATCCGAACATAGTCTCCGATGTGTGGTATCTGGCTATTGGGAATGGTTCTGTCCAAGTAATTCCAGGTTTTGATTCTACCATTAACACTTTCGACGACCCATCGTAGCTAAAAAACAAATGTTGATCTTAATTGATTTACTTTGATTTACAGTTCTTTTTCATTTATTTAATCAGAACACAATTGAAATACTTCTGAAAATTACATCTTATATACATTTTAAAAATAATTATGCTTTTGATCTTGAGTTTTTTCAATAGTTATCTTACTTTTGTAACTAAACGTGTTGCATTAGACTCTTCTGTTGTGTGTTGCTTTGTTCAACGTGGTAGAAAGGAAGGCATTTCAACATGAATTCCAATGTCGTTGAGTAGAGTTTCCGCATCCCTAAACCCTCTATCGACAATGAATATGTCTTCCTCCTTTATCCAATCTTTAATTTCCTCTACGTTGGTTTCTATCATATGCGTCAAAATCTTAGCATCTGAATTCTTGGAGTCGGCTAGGTATGGCCCAAGCACCGAAACAACGTACTCCGATGTAGTAACCACTACACTGTAAAAAATGTGTTTAGATGATAGACACTTTCCTAAGCACTTTCTTGTCACACTTTTTTTGATGCGTTCAAATTCTAAACACATTGAATTTCATTACGTGTAACGGAAAGTGTTTAGAGCCTAAACACTTACATGTTTAGATTTTAAACACTTTACAAAACATGTTATGATACATGTTTACAAATTAAACACTTGGATGTTTTCGTTGTCTTCCTGCAAGAAAACTGAAAAAATAACAATTGTTTACATTTTAAATTTTATTCAATGAACATTTTTTATAAAGAATTTTAAATTAAATATACATTATATTTTTACACGCTGGTTTTAATTCTAACCAGATTAGCAAGCAGTTATTCCTCATGTCTGTATCAAGTTTAACTTCCAGCAATTTTTCACTGAGCAACACACGCATAATTTGTTTTCATCTGTGACCGTCAGTAGGTAATCCACTGTCATTATTTGAGAATATTTTTAGGATGTTCAAAGCTATAACGAACAGCAGACTTCACAAAACTCAGTTTCTCCTAGAAAGTAAGAAGTGTTGAATAATGTAAGAACGATGGCATGTCATTGTGGACTTGGAGATGGCAACAGTTTCTCTGATACGTGTATTTTTGCTTTCAAGTTCGATGTGGACCATATCCTGTAAGAAAGAAATTCAAATTTTATCAAAATATGCTCCTCACTGGCTGGATTTGTATGAACTTTTTTTTTTACATGTTTGATAGCTATTCTTGTGCTACTTTTATTGAACCTCGTCTATATAACCACTATTTAGTATTGATACTGTTATAGATATTATTGATATTCTATATAATATACTCCTTTCTAGATTTCAGGAATGCTAAATATAACAGAAGATAGTCTTGATCTACAACTACATGTGCAAACGCATGTTTATTTACGTAGCCCATCGTGGTCAATTTATGTAAAATAAAAATAATAGTTAACATACCTTTTATCGCAGTAATGTTGCAGTTTAAATGCATTTCACAATCTCTTCATGGTTATCACTTTAATTAGCATTCACTTCCTTTAATCCATCTTCTTTAGCTTACATCGGGTTTTCCTTTGTTTCGATAACCGCTCTATTTATCATTCGAATATATATGCGTCATTTCCGGGAAGATAACTCTGCACCTCACAGAAAAGTGTTCAAATTTCTAAACACTTGTATCTAAACATGTATTAAATCTAACATCATTTAGATATAACACACGTTTAGACATAAGTGTTTAGCCGTTAAACACAATCTAACACACGTTTAGACCTAAGTGTTTAGCCGTTAAACACAATCTTATACATGTTTAAGTCAAAACACGTAATGGAAGTGTTTATTTTCTAAGCGCATTTTTTACAGTGTATCATAGGTTTAATCAACGGCCTGTGTTTATGAGTACTAAATGATCTTCTTGAGAATGTAAAATTACCACTTTTTTGTAGGTATATATATGTCCCATCAAGTACTAGTATTACTGGATTTTCAGTTACAGTACAGAGCAGCTCTTTTGCAAGTGGACGGGTGTGGTTTTCTTTAACGTCCTTCCGGGTAATGTGGGAAAATCCCAAATGATGTGGAACAAAGTTCAACATCAGAGCATGTTTTGCTGTCAATACAGCACGCCTTATCTAGAAAAGAAAACACAGATCTATATTATTATTTTTTTTTTTAGAGATTACAAAGAACTACAACGTAGATTATTTGTAAATTCAAGAAATTACCTGCCATTTTTGCATGCCAAAGAGAGTTCCAAGCAAATGATTGCTCATTCCACAACGCAATTTGGTTAATAGAATAGCAATACAAGTCCTCACACTTCTGGTCTTGGTTGCCCTTATGTCAACGTCTTTCAGGTATGAGAGCAGCTCATCAAACTGGTCTTTCGTCAACCCAGTAAGATTATAATAATCTTCGTTATCCATACTCTTGGCGTCATCAAAGTTGAGTCTAATACTTTCATTCCGTAGAGCGAATTCCCTAGTTTGTTGGAGCAGTTCTACAATGGATGTCCTGTTGATATTTGTGTCAGGGTTTGTTTGCTGCATTTGTTGTAGTGCATCGTCAGTAAACTCTTTATCTGCAATATGTTTTGGACAACATCTAGAGCCGGCAGGAACAAACATTTTTTTCCGTAAGAAAGCTCTGACACGGGCATACTGAGTCACCACTATAAGCTTTGGACCTGGCTTTTTACATATAAGACAATTCGCATGGCTCTTTGATGTGCTGGGGATGCTAAGAGTCACAGAAGGTGGACTTGCAGTCACAGACATTTTCATTCTTTTATTTGGTTCACTTTCCTGAGTACTGGAGATACTTTCAGAAGTTGGTAATTGCGATTCACACATATATCTGCACTTCCTACATAGAACATCTTCTTCTTTTACCTTTTGTAAATACTTTCTTTCTAATATTGAAGTATGTTTAGGTTTTATTTTGTACCTGTCGTTTGGTGTAGTCCTCTTATTACACAGAATACAGGGATATGATTTAGGTCCTGTTCCTGGCATCCTGTATTAATGTACAGACAAAATTAATTACTCCACCTTGCAACACATTTGTGAATCTCAAAAGAAAACCTTGAAAATAAATTTAAAAGTAAAGTAACAAAAATCTTTAGAGCCATCATCATCGCCAGATATATATGTAAAGTAGAAAAAAATTTGTCTTTTATCGTTATTTTTTACACCAAATATATATATATATATATATATTTTTACATTGTAATTAATCTTAAAAAAATTAAAGAGCACTGTATTTATTTTCTATCAAAAGCTCTCACCAAAATCATTTCATTAAAATATATTAATGGAAGACATACCCCGGTATACCTTTAATTTATACATTACACCCTTACCTGATTTAGTGTCAGTAGTTAATCCCATCCATTTATCATTTTAACTCTCTTCTTGTGATATTTCTTTTCTGTAAAATGTTATATTATTATAAAATATGCATATACAATTCTACATTTGGAAATAAATAAATAAGCAGATTTTTTTTTAATTTCTAGTAAAAGATTTTTGAAATATACATGTATAAATAAAAAAAATTATTCCCCGAGTGAGATTCGAACTCACAACCTTCCGCGCGGTTACCTACCTACTATAACCATTCAGCCACTCAGGCTTTGTACATTCACACATAAAATATTTTAGGTCTACTTTGATGCGCAAGAAATTTATTATAGCTCTTAAATTTTCGATTATCAAAACATTTCACATCACTAATATGAACGAATTTAAGGGTTAATCAAAATCTACTTTACTTATTTTGGGCATTATTGCTCAAATTATATGATTCGAATGTTCGCTGACGTCATTTTCATTACACTAACTTGTGCGACATTATCAGACGACATAACCATGATGTCGATGTCTTCTTAACAACAATTTGCCAAATTTTAACTCCCATATTATGCAATTATGTATTAAATCATTACCTGGTCATTTTCTTCTAGTTTAAATGCAGCTTGCAGACTCTAGACTGTTCGTCATAATTTACATCTATGTTGTCACGGACGCTTTTTGTAGATAACGAAACAAACCAAACTGGTGTTGTTGAAAAAAATCCGTAATAAGCGTTATTTTTTCAAAGGCAATTTCACTCTTATTGTTACATAATGTATGTTAATAATTTATGATTAAAAATTATATTTCATTTAATCGCAAAATAAAAAGGACGATACGATTTCTGAAGTAAGAATATTACTGTAACTTGCTTTTTATTGGAATCCGGAATAACCAAAACTTTAATTTTAGTGTTGGCCGCAGCAAACGCGATTGATGGGATCATTATAAATTAATACATTTCAGTTATCAAAGACCTATGTATAAAATACACAAATGCTACGAATTTAAGTTTAATGTTTTATTCGAGTTGGCAGGTATTGTCCACAGTGGTCTACACAACAGTGGGGCAGCCGGCAAAATGGCATACCCCCAACATCAACATAAGTTGTGCCCTCCCTGACGGGAAAAGTAGCACGCTGGGTTGACCTCATTCGTGCTACGGACACATTTCAACACAAATTATCTTTTATAATTATATTATTTTGCTTTAGCTTTAAATTGTATAAGATATAATTTTCAAAGTCAACATCACATATATCAACATCAACCATCACATATATCAACATCAACCACAAAAAGTCAACAAAATCAACAGTTCAATGGTTAAATTGAAGGTGACGATTTCGCCAATACGACCACTGTGAAGTATAGTTTACTGTCTTTCCCCGAACTCCTCGAATGGATAATTCGCCAAGTTGACCCTTGTCATACATGGTATTCGCCTATTCGGCCAGAGATCATTTCAAAGGTTCCAGAATACGGAAATAGCAGGCAATTCAATTCAGCATCGTTAGTCTCCTTCAACGAAATCTCTAATATCTGAAAAGACAAAAACAAAAACCCACAGCAGAAAAAGATTCTCAATAACTTTTGCATAACTCTAATAAATTTGGTATAGCCAAACCATGTAAAACAATGAAAAACGTTATTTTAACAAACAAAAGGAGAAATGGTATATACTAACTTAACACCTAGCTCAAGGGTTGAGGTGGGAGGGTATTTCATTATACAAAAATTTAAATCGGATACTTTCATCACCCACCTTTCACTTTCATTGATGCATAGAAAAGGGGAGATAACCGGTAAACCTAGTGACTAAGTACCGACACTGTATGGATGGATAAATAAATTCCGGCTTATCACACTTACTAGTTTTTTCCACAAAAAGGAGGTGAATGATGACTTATAATAAAAGGATAGAGCTTTGATAACGGCGCATATTGTGAGATGAACTCAAATATGCGGTATTATCAAAGACCTATGTATAAAATACACAAATGCTACGAATTTAAGTTTAATGTTTTATTCGAGTTGGCAGGTATTGTCCACAGTGGTCTACACAACAGTGGGGCAGCCGGCAAAATGGCATACCCCCAACATCAACATAAG